ATTGTCTGGATTTCCTGAAGGATCCTGTGACTATTGCATGTGGACACAGCTACTGTATGACCTGTATCAAACAATCCTGGGATACAGATGAGAAGAAAGTCTGTAAATGCCCTCAGTGCAGGAAAACATTCACACCGAGGCCCGTCCTGGTGAAAAACGTTGTATTAGCAGATTTAGTGGAGGAGCTGAAGAAGACCGGACTCCAAGCTGCTGCAGCTGATCACCGCTATTCTGGACCTGAAGATGTGGTCTGTGATGTCTGCACTGGGAAGAAGATGAAAGCTGTTAGGACCTGCCTGGTCTGTATGAATTCATTTTGTGGGAATCACCTTGAAACCCACAATAACGACCCGGAATTGAAGAATCACAAGCTGGTGAATCCCTCCAAAGAGTCGCTCCACAGCATCTGCTGTCATCATGATGAGGTGATGAAGATCTTCTGTCGTACTGATCAGCAGTGCATCTGTTACCTCTGCTTGATGGAGGAACATAAAGGCCATGACACAGTCCAAGCTGCAGTAGAAATGGCTGACAAGAAGAAGAAGCTCCAGTTGACTCGAAGCCAAATCCAGCGGAATATGCAGGACCAAGAGAAAGAAGTGGAGCTGCTTCAACAGGAGGTGGAGGCCATCAATGTCTCTGCTGATAAAGCAGTGGAGGACAGTGAGAAGATCTTCACTGAGATGATCCGTCTAATCCAGGAAAGATGCTCTGATGTGAAGCAGCAGATCAGATCCCAGCAGGAAACTGAAGTGAGTCAAATTAAAGACCTTCAGGAGAAGGTGAAGGAGGAAATCGCCGATCTAAAGTGGAAAGAAGCTGAACTGGAGCAGCTCTCAAACACAGAGGATCACATCCAGTTTCTCCTCAACTACACTTCACTGCCAGACCAAAATGAGTTTGTAGAATCACAGAGCATCTACATGCATCCGTGGAAAAACTTCAAGCATGTGACAGCAGCTGTGTCAAAGCTCAGAGATCAACTGCAGGATATTCTGGCAGGCACTCTTAAAAAGACGACAGTTAAAGTCAGCAAAGCTGAGGCTTTAAAGTCAGAACCAGAACCAAAAACCAGAAATGAGTTCTTAAAATATTCACAAGAAATCACTCTGGATCCAAACACGGTGAACAAAAAGCTGCTATTATCTGAGGGGAACAGAAAAGTAACCAGAAAGAATAAAAAACAGTCGTATCCTGATCATCCAGACAGATTTGATCGTTTATTTTACCAGGTCCTGAGCACAGAGAGTCTGACTGGTCGTTGTTACTGGGAGGTGGAGTGGAAAGGAGACAGAGTTGGAGTCGCAGTTTCATACAAGAACATCAGCAGAAGAGGATTGTCAGAGAAATGTGAGTTTGGAATGAATGACATATCCTGGTCATTTGACTGCCGAACAAAAAGTTACACGATTTATCACAACAGAGTTGAAATTCCAGTACCAGGTCCAGTTTCCTCCAGAATAGGAGTGTATCTGGACCACAGCGCAGGCACTCTGTGTTTCTACAGCGTCTCTAAAACCATGACTCTCCTGCACAGAGTCCAGACCAGATTCACTGAGCCGCTGCATGCTGGAGTTTGGCTGGTTTATGTTGACTCCTCTGCTGAGTTCATTAAACCTAAATAGTGAAGCGTGATCTCAGGTTAAAGTCTGTGCTTTAGTCTCTTTAGTCTCTCTCAGATCAGCCGTCTTTATGGAGCTTCTTTGTCATTAGTTGAAGTTGAGGTTCTCGTCTCTCACAGCGAGTTATTTTTGACAGTCCAAACTGTTGAGTGGTTCTGTTAGCATGAAGCCAACTTCTGCTCCATGAGACTTAGACAAAAACTATCCTGAAGATTAATCACTTTTTTCTTTCTTTTTTTGTCATCAATGGTTCATTGTGTTTTGTTCTGATTGTTATATTGTGTGAAAATTGTGCCTGATTATCCTGTCAATGATTAAAATCTGACGTGTCGGGTAACAGAGTCGACAGCCTGCAGAGTCACATGGGAGCCATAGATCTGTCTCTGAATCAAATCCTCTGACTTGAACAATCGATGAACTGATCGATCGTGGTCACGAACACGTGAGCAGTCCCTGCAGTTACAGTTATGATAAATATACTTTTTCTAAAAACATTTTGCGGTTTCAGTGCTTTGAGTGAATATCTAGTGAATATTATTTGTTTTTTCCTGCCAGCTTCAATATTTTAAAATGAAGAACTTGTGGACATTAAATTGTCAGTAATGCAGACATGTTTCTAAATGCTGGTCAGTTTTAGATTTATTCTTTCATATAACCTTTAATAAACTTTCCCTCACTGGAAAAGGAGTAAATGATGTAAATGAGGATTTAGATTTGATTCAATTTACTGATAAGTGATCAAATTAATTGTTATTTTGGTAAACTGTAAACTTGATTGATATATGAAAATGTCCTGATTTAAACAAACTGCAAATTAAGCAAATTTTGATCAAATTTATTTGTACCTTCAATGAAATGGAGCAGAAACTTAAAATCAATTTGCAAATTTAACATTTTCAATCACATTTATCATCTTTACTGGTTGCAGACCCATGGTAAAAAAAATCTGTTTTTGTTTTTAAAAATCAGAAAATATTATTTTGTTTATGTATGCAAATCAAAAACCTGAAATGGAATAAGAAGTGATTGCAAGATTGATTTATTTAAATATTAAGATGTAATTAAGGATTGTTTTTAGACACAAAGTGTAAATTTGATTGAAATCTTAATTCTTGTTTTGGTTTCTTTAAATAAAAAAAACTTAATTAAATAAACTAACCAAAAAAACGTCTACTTGTTTATTGAACCATTTTCTTTTCCTTATTTATATTTCAATGAGTCCTGGCAGGATTAATAAATTAATCAATACATGAGCTGGTTGCCTACATGCGAAAATGAAGATTTCTGTGCAGAAACAATCCCTGCAACCAGAATCCAGGATGTGGAAACGAGTGAGTTTTATTGGATGGATGTGTGAGCGACTCTGGGAGAACATCGGTCCAGACAGCAAACAGGAAGGAAAGAATAATGCATGAACATGAAGGAGTCTTCATGAACATCTGACTCCTGTCATGAATGTCATTCAGTAAATAATGACACTTCAATGCAAAGTCGTCACTTTTAATGTAATTTCTTGTCAAACGTGTCATTAGTTACTGAATGACATTCTTAAAGACTCGTTCATGTTCATGACAGTGTCGTTTTATGGAGGGTCATGTCAGGCTTTCACACACCCTGTCAAATAAAGTGTTACATAAAAACCATAAGGAAACTCTGGTTAACAGTAAAGAGACTTTTCATTGACTCCTTCAAAGGAAAGTTGAAGGAAAGAATCAAAGTCCCACCGAAACAAAAGACTTCCCATCGACACAGAAAGCAGACTGAAGCTGTCGTAGACCAACCAGGTGACCTCATTCGCTCACAAACACAGACAGGAGGTTTAGATCTTACCCAAAGTGATTCTTAGGACAGGTGAGCTTTATATGAGGAACACAAAGGTCGGGAGAAGCTGTGAAAATGGCCGAACTGTGGGAGTCACTGACCTGTTTCCAGCCACCATCCTGCTGAAAAGCAGAAGACTCAGACTGTGAAGAGGTTTTATTCGTATTAAATGATGTTCCTTTATGTGTCATATAAATGTAATGTTTTTTGAATCACAGTCAAGGTGTTTTTCTGTGCAGCTGGAAACGGTGTACAAACTAATGAACCAAGATGTGTCTACTGAAGTAAGTTTCCAGGGTTGCTGAACTTCCCCAGACAGTTATTTGGGAACTCGCTGTTTTTCCCTGCATGGAGATGGAGTGTTTAGTTTTCACCTCCCATAGACATTACAGTGAATGAACATACAAGGTTTCGTATGTTTTCCTTTGTTTTTTGTTTGGTCTTCGAAGACTGAGTCTCCGCCTCGGTAGTAAAGAGAGATGAATAAAGTACTATGCAACTCTGGGTTCCTCAGAGCGGATCCTAATTTGTGCCTAATGCAGTGTATTTCTTGCTCTCCGTCTGCAGATGTATTAAAGATTGTTTTTGCTCCCTGACTTTTGTCTGGACCTCAGCCTCTGAATTGTGCACTTCACAAGACATATTTAAAGACTCAGGAAGACAAAGTTCGAACGCTGAGGTGTGTTTGATTCTGCTGGATCGGTCCTGCTGGACTTGTTTGACCAGAAAGCCAGTTGGTGCTGAAATGTAACTTTTACAAGTGTGACGGTTTATTAAAATGCGTTTAAATTAAATGTGGAGACTTAGTTTTTTTGCTTGCTTCAGCAGATTTCTTTTACTTTGAGTTGGTCAGTTGGAGGTTCAGAGGTCACATTTTATTCAGAAGTTGATTTTAAATTGTATTTCCAGAGTGTTTTTTTGTCAGAAACTTCCTAGAAGCTGTAATGTCCCCAGACTTTTTATTAAAATGTCCTGTTAAGGAAAGCCAGGCTGTTTATTTGATGGTGTTGTTTGATGCTGAGCGGGCCGACCTGGGCTCGGACCGCGCAGCGCTTTGGGGATGTGGATCTTTGGTCGCCATTATAGCAAATTAGGAAAGCTTTTAAAAGACTGCAATCACATGAATACAGCATGTAATGTGAGTTTCATTTGTTGCTTTTATGGTTGAAAGGAAACAATCACAACTATCTGTGTTAAACTGTGGGTCGTCACAGTGAATATTAAATGGTTTATCCTTTTCCAAAAGAAAGCTTTGATAAGTTTCTATGACTGTTTCAAATCAAAAACAAACTGTTTTGTTGAATGAAATATTTTTATTCCAAATTTCCTAGATGTATGAATATGTTCAAGCTAAAGTCTTTCATAAAATATACTCAAGAGTCAAACACACCTTATGGAAATGAGTCAGTCTTAAAACATGTCTTCTTCCTGCTATGAGACAGAGATTCCAGATTTTCAACATATCTTTACTCATCTCTTAAATCTGGGAGTAACTAAGACCTGCTGAGAGTCAGAAGTCTTCTGATTTAAACTTTGTCGTTGCTGCTGAGAGGTAAAATGGCTCAGAGAGGAGTTCGTCTGGAGGAAATCTCCTGCTCCATTTGCTTGGATCTACTAAAGGATCCGGTGACTATTCCCTGTGGACACAGCTACTGTAAGAACTGTATTAAAGACAAGTGGGATGGAGAAGATCAGAGGAGAATCCACAGCTGCCCTCAGTGCAGGAAAGAGTTCAGATTTAGGCCTGTCCTTGTAAAAAACATCATGCTAGCAGCACTAGTGAACGATCGGAAGAAGACTGGCTCCAAGCTGCTCCAGCTGATCACCGCTATGCTGGACCTGAAGATGTGGCCAGTGATGTCTGCACTGGGAGGAAGATGAAAGCTTCTTACTGTGAGAATCATCTTCAACCTCACTACGACGCTCCACATTTAAAGAAACACAACCTGGTGAATCCCTCCAGGAAGCAACAAATCCATCAGAGAATCCAGGACCAAGAGAAAGATGTGAAGCTGCTTCAACAGGAGGTGGAGGCCATCAATGTCTCTGCTGATAAAGCAGTGGAGGACAGTGAGAAGATCTTCACTGAGCTGATCCGTCTCCTCCAGGAAAGAAGCTCTGATGTGAAGCAGCAGATCAGATCCCAGCAGGAAACTGAAGTGAGTCGAGTCAAAGATGTTCAGGAGAAGCTGCAGCAGGAGATCACTGAGCTGAAGAGGAAAGACGCTGAGCTGGAGCAGTTCTCACACACAGAGGATCACACCCAGTTTCTCCTCAACTACCCCTCACTGCCAGCACTCAGTGAGTCTACAGGATCATCCAGCATCAACATCCGTCCTCTGAGACACTTTGAGGACGTGACAGCAGCTGTGTCAGAGCTCAGAGACAAACTACAGGACGTCCTGAGAGACACAGGGACAAACATCTCACCAAGACTCACTAAGGTTGATGTTCTACTGTCAGAACCAGAACCAGAACCAAAGACCAGAGCTGAATTCCTGAAATACTCACAAGAACTCACCCTAGATCCAAACACAGCGAACAGATTCCTGTTATTATCTGAGGGGAACAGAAAAGTAACGAGGGTAGAAGAACAGCAGTTTTATCCTGACCATCCAGATAGATTCTCTGGTTGTTGTCAGATCCTGAGCAGAGAGAGTCTGACTGGACGTTGTTACTGGGAGGTGCAGTGGAGAGGAGGAGGAATTGAAGTCGTAGTTTCAAATAAAAGCATCGGCAGAGCAGGGAGATCAAATAAATGTGAGTTTGGATTCAATGACAAATCTTGGTCATTAAATTGCACCACAGACAGATACACATTTTATCACAGCAACATTAAAACTCCAGTATCAGGTCCAGTTTCCTCCAGACTAGGAGTGTATCTGGACCACACAGCAGGTATTCTGTCTTTCTACAGCGTTTCTGGTACCATGACTCTGATCCACAGAGTCCAGACCAGATTCACTCAGCCGCTACATGCTGGGTTTGGTCTCTTCTCCCTATTTTCACATGATGGTGGCGCGACTGCTGAGTTTGTTAACTTGAAATAGTTTCTTTTGTCTCCATCATTGTTGTCGTCTCTTCGTCATCTGATGTGTTTATACTGGAGTCTGAGTGACTCTCGTCTCTCGTGGTTATTTTTGATGGTGCAAACTGCTGTTAGTTTAGTTCATATAAAGTCATGTTCAGCTGCATTACTCTATTTTTGTTCTTTATTTAATAAATCATGGTCCATTGTAATGGTGATTACAATGATACTTTGTTCTCTTTGTTGTTTCATTGATGTTTGTTTGGGTGCTGCACCTTCCTGTTTCTGTTCAACTGTAGATGCTGTCACTGCTCCGAAGGATTTCATCCATCAGATATTTTTTACGTTTATTACTTTGTCAAACCAGATATTGCTGTTCTATTTGGGTTCTATGTAAATATTGTGATTTTGTTAAATTTGTGGTTTAGTGGAAACAGAATATTTATGTTTGGTTTGTCAGGTTAAAAAAAATAAATTACTGGTTTATTAATTTCTTCTTTTACTATTTTATGATTTATTCAAGTGGTTTGTTGGACATCAGATTTCGCTGTTCAAATATTTCTAGTGAATGGCTTGATGTGTAGTAGATTAATTTGTTTTGTTTCACATAAACTGGCTGCAGGAAGATAATTATGTTAATATAAATGAGTCAACTCTTTGTAATTATAGTTCTTAGCTTTTACATTCCTTGAATTACTGGGCCAGGAAGAGGAGCAGCAACCGCTCCTCATTCAGGTTCATTAACTAAACAATGGCTACAAATTACAAAGCACTGAAATCCCTTGTTTGTTGTTTTTTAAATAATCCGTCTCAGTTTTGAAATTGGTTTTGAGATTTTCATCTTATTTATTGTTAAATAAATTCATGTTGACACTAAAATGATTCCTTAAATGAACCTTTTTATGGTACCTTTGATTCATTTTGCTTTTTTCAAAGAATCTACGCTCCTGTCATCACACGTTGGACTTTCTTTTGACTTACTGAATGTAAAGAAATAAACATTCTTCTCATAACTCTGACCTGTTTGACCTTTTTAAACCACCTGTAAGTTTATTTCAACTAAGCACTGAAAACCAGAGAGAAATATATTTTTATCTACATAAAAACTGTTTTGGATCGACCACAAAAGCTAATTGTCTCCACTACAGACAGTGAATGGCAACATTCATATCCACATAGAGCTGCATTAATTTTTCATGAAGCTCTTGTAAAGTCGGACCATTAAGGAAAGTCTTGTCTGGTCTTGTCTCAGTGGGTTCAGGGTCTGGACTCCAGTAACCGACCCGAGTGGGAAAATTACGTCTCCTACTCCCTGAACCAATCAAGTTAAATATTAAACCTGCCTGATGGAAAAACTCTGTCACTCAGTGTATTTAGTAACCAGCCAACTTTCCTTTGGGTGCAAAATGTTGCAGTAACTCCAGATTATGGCAACGCTGCCTCAGCATGACGTCTATTTTATAGTGTTGACTTGATCCATAGTTAGTGTGTGTGTATGTGTATCTGTCCACATTTCTTCCATTCACCACTAGATGGAGCCTCTGTACCACGCCTGATCCGGATGGGAAGCATAGACTTCTTTCTACAAAGGAGTTTTGCCAAACCATGTGAATAGAAATTAGTAAATAAATTACATACAGAATCTTCAGTTTGCATTAGTGAACTTTATGGGTCGTATTATTGACCTCTGACATTAGACAGGACAGTTTTTGCTTCCTTGCTGAGAAAGAAACAAATGTTTCAACACGTCTGAGATACAGTTTAGTCTCTCTCTCCTCTGAGTGTGTGTGTGTGTGTGTGTGTGTGTGTGTGTGTGTGTGTGTGTGTGTGTGTGTGTGTGTGTGTGTGTGTGTGTGTGTGTGTCGCATCCAGGTGCCACAGTGTCTCCTGTGTTGTTGTCTTTATAAACAAACTGAACGCCACTCCTGCTCCCATCGTCTTGTTTCTGGGGCAGGACGATGGGAGCAGGTAATGATGGGAGTCTTGGTAATGATTAACATGGAGCTTGTGGTGAATCTCAGTTTTATTTTGCATTTCTTTAGTATTTATAGAAACATTTGGAAAACAACAGTTTAACCATGCGTTTATTTATAGTAATCACATGTCTAAACAATAAGCTGGTGCTAGTCTTTCCACAACTAGATAAATATATAATTTAAGTGTAAAAAGTGACATATTTGAGATTTGTGTAACCTTATGTCACAACATATTAATGCTCCTGATGTCTCTGTTAGGGGAGGCAGTCAGCAAACACCAATAATCAGAAGTAATATAACATTTAATTATACAAACCCTTAGATCTAACAGCTGTTAATACGCTTCAGTGGTGAAGTTACTGTGAACTCAATATATTGTATTTATACTGTCTCCATGTAAATCTGTTGAAAGTGGACATTTAAATGTCTTCCAGCTGCAGCCAGGATTTGACTTTGTCTGGTGAAGTAGATGCAAGCTGTCATTATGAAGGCACAATCAGTGCTTCAGGCTCAGCAGCCTGTATTTATCTTATTTTGAAGTGAAAAAGGAAGTTGTTCTCGAGTTGTCCTGTTGCGTCAGCAGGTCTAAATACTTTAAAATGTTTTTTGATGCGTTTATGCATGCAGAAGAAAAAAGAAATGGCACCAAAGTGAAAGATAAGTTACGATGTCTGATAAGTATTGTAAAAATAGAGACCAGCTAAATGTTGCTAAGCTGCTGCTAGGAATGGTAAAGTTTGTACCAATCTCCGGTAAACTTAATGGATGCTTCACAGTTTTCAAGAAATTTTCGATTGAATTTAATTGAGTTTGATTAGTTTTATAATTTTATTGTATTAGTTTTTGTGAAAACAAAGAAATGGAGCCTCTTTTGTCTCTGGTGGTCCGCGGGCGCCCCTAGTGGTCCGCGAGGTACTGCATGTGAAAGGCCTATTTGCCGTGACGTCATCTCAAAGCGCGACGCTAGAGCTAGCTTACCGAAGAGCTGTGGTTAAAAAAAATAATGAATTAGTGGCTTAAAAACTGAAAAGAAAAGCAGGAATACAGATGTGATCGGAGAGTATTGATGAGTCGATTTGAGTCTTTTGAACGAGTCTCAGTTGGTGAGAACTGTTCTTTGTTTTTTACCAGTTTGCGCTGGTCGCACCTCAACAGCTGTTTCTATTTTTATTTATTTTACAAATGATTAAGTTGCATTATTTAAATACATTTGGTAGAAATGGATGGATCAGTTTCACATTTAATGGTGCAGAAAATTATTTTAGTTTCTGCCAAAGTAACTTATGTCTATTTTTCTTTTGTTGTTCTTCTAAATTACAAATAGATATTTAATATTTCTAAATTCGCACAGAAACATAAAGATGAACTAACCTATCAACCAGTTTATCAGGGAAACAAAGTTGATTCTCTCTTTAGTTTAAGTTTTGAAGATTCTCGTTTTTTTGTCACCTTTTTGGCTTCATCATCCATCATAAATCATTTCATGTGAACTAAGATACTTGAACCAGAAACTAGACCAAAATAACTGGTAATATTTTATATTTCGCTGTGATATCCTACATGTTCCACAAGTCTGTGCAGCTGGACTTTAAAGTACAACAAATATTAATTCATTGGTGTGTAAATATCAAACAAGACAGATTTTCTGCACCTTTCTTGCTTGAGCTCTCTGCTCTGGTTTTTTTTTGTCTTGTTTTGCTGAGAATCATAAATGAGGACAAGGATATCTGCAGCGCTCACACGGGCCTTGTGGGGCTTTTCCAGCGTGCTCAGCAGGATTACAGTAAAAGAGTCAGTTTTATTTCACGTGCATTGAGAAACAAGACTAAAAGTTAAATGGGAAAAAAACAAAATATTAATAAAATTTAATGCAAAAACAAATAAGAGGTGAGCAGATTGAATTAAATTAACTTTATTTGTATAACTTGTGCTGAATAAATTGGACTCAAAATGAATGTGGAGTTCTGAGTCTCAATCTTTCTACTTTCAGGTAGAAAAACAAGCAAAACTACAGCGTATCAATTTCTCCAGCATCAAAACAAAAACACTTCTATCAGTAAAGTGAATAGAAATGTAAATATTTCTCCCAGTGGCTGAAAGCTGAAGGTTCATCCTTCAGACTGTAAGAGGAGATGTGTTTGCATACCAGACATGCCACTGAGGCTCTAACGCGCTTTTTATTCACGCCGGTCATCTGACCGTAGCATGATCGCCGCGTTAACCAGAGGCTGAGGAAGCACACATTAAAACCGATTCAACACAAAGATAAACTCTGGAGGTTTAGACAGCATTAATGTAATTCGTCTGGAGGAATGTATGTGTGGCGCTGCTTGTGGGAGAGTTTAATCTCTCATATGTGTAGTAATCCAGGGAAAAAGCTCTTAGATTGCAGACCTTTCTCACCAGATTAGTGCCCCACTTTTTCTTTTCTGTCTTGTGCAGAAGAAGCACATTTGGATGAGCAAAGATCCTGTTTAACATTCATCCGTAGTTACACCTGATTAAGTCAGAAAATAAAACGCTGATTAATTATGTCCTCATAAATATGGATTCTTTATCTTTAGGTTTCTGAAGATCCATAAAATTCACATACAGAAACACAAGACATCAGTACAGTTCCCATGGGAGCAGACTTCATTTCCCATGATGCAACAGTTGTGACTTGAATCTGAGGAATGTCGACTGCTGCAGATTTCTGTACACACACCTACCGTTACAATCTGAGGATTTTACCACAATCAGAATCAGATTATTGGCAGGATTTCAGCTTCATAGCATTCAGACATGAAGCACTCAGTAAATATATAAATTACAATTAAGAACATAAAAGATAAAATGAGCAATAATTGTAAAAACAAAATCTCTCCAAGTATTTTGGACTAGTTTCCAATCCAAATATCTCAGTACAATTGAAAGAAGACAATATAGGTTTCCTACAGGTCAAAAAGTTTTGAATTTTTATTTAAAAGTACTAAATTCACCGGCAGATTATTTCATCTATAACAAGTTAAAAATCTCTGTATCTATACCTGCATCACCAGGATCA